GTCATCATCGTCGCAATGGGGGCGCTGCTTTCGAGTTAAATCTACAAATCTGCAAATAACTCTAAGGATATCCAAGATAATCAAGAAATTATTTTTCAGAAACCTTCCCAGTACTATACTAAATAGCTTCCCAAAGTTTCATGGCGTTCCAATGAGTGGTTTGGTCAGGCATGAAGGACACACACACACATACATTCATTTATATATATTTATAGATATATAAATTAATATTTCAAATTTTTCTATTCAAAAATAAGTTTCTATTAATTAGATTCTCAATATACCATTAAAATATTTATATCTTCCATTCCCAATCTATACAACCGAAAATTAACCCAATTAAACTTTATTTCCCTCTCATTCTAACTAGCACATCTATTACTGCTAATTAGTGAATATTTTTATTCAATGAGTCATATGTGAAATTAGAGGTTTTCCAATTGGTATAATTTCCATATATAATTCGGTAACCCTGGAAGGAAGTCACGTGATCATCGATTAGTTAGCGATTGGGTCATTTAAGCCTAATTGACTAATTAAACTTTTAGAACTGCTGACCCCAGACGTTTCTTGTTTCTAATTTGTCTCGGCATTCAAACAGACGCCATTGTCTGAGTGCCAATTGCAATCGGATTCACTAATTGATTTCCATATATTACCAGTATTCCTCAACTTTAAAGTTTGGAGTATAATTGATGTTTTAATTTGCTATCATATACGCGGTTTGATGGCAATTTTATTCGCTTAATTTTCACACACTTTTAGTTTCATCTTTATGTGACTCGACGCATGCGCAGTTTGTATCATTTCTACCATTCTAGTGTGCGAGCAGACGAAAGATGGAAGAACGCCAGTGGTCAGAAGGATGCGCATGCGCGCCGGCAAAGTAGTCATAAATATAATTAGGAATATTAGAAAAATAGTATCTCGTTAAAGAACGTCAAACAAAGTTAGTTGATCATATGTGTACGTTTGAAAAAAGTTAAATAAAGACAAATATTTAATACAATCTGATATCAAAAATAATTTACTGCTATATCTATTTATATAATCGAACATATATAAATATAAATTATTTTCTTATATAAGTTTTTAGTTATGAATCCCATCTCTTTTATCTTTCTCACTATAGTTAGAATTTTAATCTACAATATTTACTCTACAAACTTTATAATTATTTTAACTCCCTTCAAAATAGACACAAAATAAACGCAATCTATTAACGATTTTCCCAAACTAACGGACTATGGTCGGTGACAAAGTTATGAGAGAGTTGACCTTTCTCTTTTAGGTTTATCCTCCGGACAAATTTATATACACTCATGAAAAAGACTTATGGAATTAGAAAGTCTTTGATATCGCAGGTCGACTGTTTTTTTTTTTTTTTTTTTTGAAGACAGAAAAAAATTGTTCACACTTGGTTATATCGTGTGTCTTAACTAAAGGTCACTGTAATACCTTTCAGAGTTATTGTCTAAATCCTGATATATATGTTGAAAGGTACAATTTCCTTTAATTTTGTCTATGAGTGTATAACTAAACCACATCAAATATATGCAAAGAAAATATAACAATATTTCAATTCGAGTAAATTAATTGAATTATATTAAATGTTTTATAGGAAAAAGGTGAATTATATTAAACACACACGCACCCTAAATTTATAAATATTATTTTATGACTAGAATTTATTATATTTAACAGAGTTTTCAAATATTATACACACAGCTTTAAGACCACAGGTCTTATACAGATTCACCACAGGAAGGAAGTACAGATAGAGCTCCTATACTCCAGTCAGCACAGAACCCAACAACAGCCTCCAGGTCCGACACATGTCCAGTGGCCACACCGTATATAGGTTAGCGTATCACTGAAAAGACGAGTGTGGAAAAATGCTTCAAATAATATATCTTGAGTAAATAAAAATAAAATTATTAAAAGTTATCAAACGGAAAAACATGGTGAAGGAAGACGAGTTTCTTTTATTGATGCATTTTTCGTTTAATTTCAAATCGGGAAGAATTATTTATCTATATTAAAAGTTATATATTTGGTTGTATTGAACCTTTTTTTTGCGTTTTATCTTATAAAGAATACCAGTCATGTAGCCTTTTCATCTTGAAGATAAACTTTTAATTTTAACAAAAATGTAAAACAAATATCAAATTATTAAAAACAATGTTTATTTTCGAATTACAATTGAAGGTTATATTTAAAAAAAATATTGTGTGTTGAAGAGTTTAATTTTCAAATTATGAATATGAAAACTATCTCTCTCTAAAAAATAAACAGTTGTAAGTTACTGGCAAGGAAACCCAGGACTCGAGACACCTACTGCTGGAATGTCCACTCTTCTTTGTCGCTAGACAACAGACAGTAAATATTGTTATAGATCAATTTGTAAATACTAGAGAGAATTGTCACAGTTTTAAATATTGTTGTAAATATATTTATGATTATCTTTCTAATCTGGAAGGATCAGGTTCCTAATATATCTTATTGTTTCTTTTTCTTGAATTTATTCATTTTTTTGTATAATATTGTTATAACAGCTTCTGATTAAAAATGTAAAACGACGCAATTATCCCTAACCGGGGATATCGCATTTTGTGTGTTGATATAAAGAAATAAATAATAAAAAAGTTATAAATATAATTAAATATATATATATATAGTGATTATATATAGATTACTAATATATATACTAATAAAATACAATTACTAAATGCAAATATACAAATATTTCTGTCGAATCTAAAATATATCAACATTCAACCCAATTTTTACAAGATAAAAAGAAGCAGAAGATGATATCTATATTTGAGTAATTAAATATTTGAGCAGACTGTCACTGCCACTGACGTCATTATTGAATACTTCGATCTGATTGGCTGTTGGAAATTGAAAATGTCTGCTTCTCTCCTAGATCATGTAAAATTGAATTTTTCTTTTAGAATATTTCTCACTCCCTTATTTGAATTGTTCGAATGGTCTTTTTTATTATCTATTTATTTATTTTATATATATTTTAATTTTTTATAAAATTAAGGTCGTATCTTTCATCAAAAAGACGCAAAAAATAGTCGCCATCCAGTGATAGTCTAATGGAAATAACGGACTCGGGTCGGTGTCAAAAGCCACAACATCTTTATTTATTTTAATATGATTTCAATAGTTACATTTATTGGTCTCCGAAAAATTCACTACATATTATTCTTATGATTTTAAAGCAAAATAATCTGTATTGTGAGCTATTCACACCCATAGACAAAACTTAAGGAAGTGAAAAGTCTTTGTAATGTCGCCGCTCGTCGGTCTTTTCTAAGAAAACAGAGACAATTTTGTTCACACTTGGTTATATATGTCTTCAATAAATGTCACTGTAATATCTTTCAGAGTTATTGTCTGATTTTCTAAAATTTGTCCATGAGTGTAAATCTTATAAATATTTATATTTCGTTAAAAAATAATTTTATATTGTTTTCGTAATTCTAGAATAAATGGCATGTTGATAATTTTGTGATATCTACGAAAAATAAAAATTTACAAATTTAAAAATATTTATTTTAAATATAATATTTCAAACTTAAATTTAACTGTTTTTATTTCATTTATAACCTTAAAAACTTTGCTTGCATTATTTTTAATACCAAACAAAGCACTTTTAATTCTAATTGTAACTTTTTATTTTTTCAAAGAGAGATTTTATATTCATAATTTGAAAAATATACTCTGACACACAACGCTAATTATTAGACCATACATTTTTAAAAAAATATAACTTTAAATTATATTTCGAAAATGAGAATGGTTTTAATAATTTGATGTTTTTCATTTCTGATACAATTTAAACTGACTGATATTCTTTACAAGATATAACGCCAAAAAAAGTTTTAATTCAATATACGTTTCGACCAAAATTATATACAGGATGTAGGAATTTGTTATATTTTAATTTCAATCAATATTTATATCTCTATCTCTATATATATAAAAGTCAATGTCTGTCTGTCTGTTTCGCGATAAACTCAAAAACTACTGAACCAATTGGTACCAAATTTTGCATATCGCTTTTTATAAACCCGAGGAAAATTTTCGGCTACATTTTGATTAGTATTTTTGGCTATTTCTTTTTTTCATTAGAAGAAGTTTTTTTACGCGGAGTAATCCGAAATGGAATGAATACCCAAATATGGCCATTTTTTATACGCATCGATGGTTCAGTGGTAGAATGCTCGCCTGCCACGCGGGCGGCCCGGGTTCGATTCCCGGCCGATGCATTTTTTTTTTTCAATTTTTAAAACTCATTTATATTATATACTAGACGTATGACCTGGCTTCGCCCGAGAATTCCCCCGATTGCAATTTCCTTCATACTGAAAGTACATCAATAATAAATATTAGAAGTGCCATAGAATAGCAATACAGAAGTAACACATAAACTACAGGAAAAAAGTGTGTGTGATGGCGAAAATTGTATTATATTAGTGTTTAGGTATTTGATTTAATTAATATATTTGATATTATAATATACTAGCCGAATGGCCCGGGCAACGCCCGTGTTTTACCCGATTGAATGTTTTTATTCAAATACTATTTGTTACAATTATAAATTGGCGCCTTAAATAAATGCATATATTAGTTAATAACTATAGCCTATGTGCTTTATCTGTCTATGTACTGTTGGCTTCCGTAGGCGTCTCATACTGGGAAAAGGAAAGAGAGGATTCCATTCAGTTATTAACTAATATATGCATTTATTTAAAGAGCGACCCGCTCCAAAACAATAGTTACAAAAACGAAAGAGCGAGTGGGGGAGGCATGATGGGGGGGGGGGGGTCAAAGGTGGCGTGACCGTAGCCAACCAATAGGAGGGCGCCATTCCAAAAAAAAAAGCAAACGGTGACAGAGACGACTGATGAGGAATGACGCTCGTAACTGTATATAGAATATTTATATTATATATAATATAAATGAGTTTTTAAAATTGTAAAAAAAAATCCACCGGCCGGGAATCGAACCCGGGCCGCCCGCGTGGCAGGCGAGCATTCTACCACTGAACCACCGATTCTTATAAAAATGGCCATATTTGGGTATTCATTCCATTCCGGATTACTCCGCGTAAAAAAAAAGGTTTTTCAAATGAAAAAAAGAAATAGCCATCGGGGGAATTCTCGGGCGAAGCCGGGTCATACGTCTAGTATACAATAAGTTACAATCTTTCTAAATCCACTTCTTATATTATGCAAAATTTTGAATTTATAAATTTAGACTTTATATATGTAAATAATTATTAATTCTTCAAAATTCAAATCCCGTTTTATTTTTATTTATTGTTATAATGAAATATTTAAATTCAATGAGTTTGAAAATAGAGTCAATTCAATTTTTTAAAATCTTGTGCAACTAACTCTAATTTTGTATATAAATAAATCGATTTAATTCGAAATCAAAAGTACTAAAATACACGAAATATTTGTGAAAGATATAAACTTCTTTGATGATTTTTTTTACAAAGACAATACATTTTATTTTTCATCTTAAAATAAAATATATTCAAAGGATTTAAATATTTTGTCAATTTTGAAATTTTGGGTCCTGATGCCCATCTACATAAAAATTAAATATTTAACACCTTAATTCAAAAAAAGTTGTTAGAAAGCTATATATTAGAATGTTATATTTATATATTATATATATATAATCATTGACCTTCAAGGAATCATAATAATTTTAACACAAAATGAAATTTTAATGATATAATAAAAGAAATTACTATATTGACAATATAAATATTTCAATATATATACTATTTTTTACTTTTTATTTCTAACAATAATGTATTTATTTATTATGAAGTTTTTATTAAATAATTAAAATTTAATTTTTCGTTAAAATTATCATTATGATTTCTCGAAGGTCAATGATTTTAATACTAATTTAGTAAAACTCAGTAAAAATAATATGTAAAAATACCTTGCAGAAGAAAATAAGTAATAGACAACTTGATTTTAAAAACTTTATAAAAACAAAGATATATTTTTTAAACTTCTACACATATAACATCTACCCTTCGGTAAGTTATCTTTAAAACGATTTTCATTTTGCAATATCATACATTTAATATTGAAGATTTGAAATGAAAACGATAAAATTTACCATCCTAATAACACACAACATTAATTTCTTATATTGAATAGTTAAAGTTTAGATATATTTATATTCATTTTGATCGAACAAAAATATATTTAATATTTCATTCCAATATAGTAAAAGTATTTACCAAGTGCGCAATATAATATTGGTTGTGAAGGAATATACACTTTTATATGATTTTCTTCAACACTTTTAATTTAATGCACATATCTAACAAAATTGTCTTTACAATTTTTTTTATAAAAGTGTAATATTAATAAGTATATATTAAATATATATTTTCAAATAGTATTAAAAATAAATATTTTTAAGATGATGTCAAAATGTGATTGTTTATTTTAAAGTTTATTATAAAATTAATATATGAAAATATAACAACATTGAGAAGAAAATACAATTAAATTTGAAAATATTGTATTTAAAGGTATAATACTATATATAATGAATTTATAATGTCTATATGAAAATATATACGAATAATAATTATTTTTTGAATATATTTCTTTTTTTTTTTTACAAATCAAATTTATTATTTATATAAAAGGTAAGCAATGGACACATAAAAAAAAAAATTAAAAATTTAACATTAAATGATCAAATATCGTTTTATATTGAAACATTTATTTTCAAAATGGCAAAATACACCTTTTTATCTTAAAGCGTTTAGCTAATGGTATATTTTATTTAATATATTAGCGTATTATATAATTAGGAAAATATATTATAAACATCTAACATATATTTTTCAGTATATAAGGTATCATTATTGAAATAAATATAAAAAAGATGTATTATATATAACTAAATAATCAATAAAAAGAATAATATATGTAAAAAGACTAACGATATAGTCAAGTCTTTCATTGGGAATGTCTATTACAAGATATAATAGCCAATGAACGCATCCCTAATTACGATTGCAGACGATCTTCGATACCATTGGTCACCGGGGAACCTTAAAAGAACGCAGACGACTTGGTGGAATTATGGGAATACGTTTGGTCTAAGTTGTTTTTCTTACATTCTTTAACTTGGGAATTTTTCCTTGGTAAAATATTGGTAGAATTTATTCTATCAGATTCTTTTTCTTGTTTACATTTATTTAAGATTATTTGAATCAATGAATAAATTACATAAGTTACATAATTGAAATTTTAATATTTAGTAAAGGATTTATCAAATTATATTTTACACCTTTGTGAAAATATTAAATTAAATTGAAAAAAATCAAATACTATTTTATTAAGAGTGTTGTACAAAGGTCAAAATATTAGAAGATATACAGATATTAATAATTTTTTAAATTTCTTTTCTATATTATATTAAAACAAAAAATATGTTAAAAAACCAAATGATTATCATATTATTTACCCCTTTTTACAATATAAACGAAACTTTTTAAAGAATATTAAAAAAGGCTGAGGGAAGATAAATGGTCAAATATACCATTAATGGTCAAAATTATTAAAATATTCACAGAAACCTCAATTTGAACTGTTCATTTAGAAAGAAAAGAGATATAGAAATTTAAATAAATGGTCCAAAATATAAATAATGATGTATTGTGAACACGATTAACCTAATTTTAATTTCGATAACATTTTTTCCATCAAAAACCTCATTTTTTGCTTTGTAAAATCTTCATTTTCTAATAGTTTTACATTTTTCAATGAAGATTCATTATGTGATATCATTTGTAAAATATCATGTATATTATTCATTATGTAAAATAAACATTTATAAATTAATATTATGAAGAGAATTATATAATGCACGTTTGTGTGTATTCAACTTATATATTTTTTAAATATATTAAAACATAACACACAATCATATATAGAAGCATAGGGCGCCTCTCCCGTCAAAATAAACGTCAAAACCTGACGCCATCTATTGATGGGAGATTTTGACGGGAGAGGCGCCCTATGCTTCTATGGATCAATTTCCTTCCGGAAAATTTTCCATCTAACAATCATATATGTTGATGATTTATTAATTCACCGCCATTTTATAATACAAAGAACACATTTATACTATCATTGATCTTTGAGAAAAAATATTTAGCGAGTCCTGGCTTATCAGTGGTGAACCTTTCCAGAGATTTCACCAATTTAATCGACCAGATATCACTTTTTAGAGCTTTTATACTCTATTAAACGATCTATAAAAAAACAGGATTTTACACCTTTCACGACATGTATATATATGAGTAGAATCGTCCAATATAGTATTAGAGTTTTAAAAAACGTCGTCTGGTGGATTAAATCGGCGAAATCTCACTGAGAGGGTTCACTACTGAAGAGCAAAGCCCTCTCAATATATTTTAATCACAGTGAGGAAAGAATTTTTGTTTCATTTGAAAAATAAAAGAAATATTATTGGTTAACGTTATAATCTACCATATCACGGTACAAGGAAGTTGTAAGTCTTTGATGTTGCCGGTCGTCTATATATATATATATTTTTTTTTTAAGGAGACAGAGTCAATTTTGTCCCTACATGGTTATCTAGTATGTCTTCAATAAAGGTCACTGTAATATCTTTCAGAGTTATGGTCTGAATCCTGATTTAGATGCTGAAAGGCACAACTTCCTTAAGTTTTGTCCATAAGTTTATTGTAGGTTCATTCTTCTTAAAGAGTTTGTAATTCAAGGCACACCACTGAAGAGACGGGGCCTCTGAATAGTATTTAATTACAGAATGTTCGGTTGAGAGTTATTTTGATATTCTAAAATATTTTATTTTCACAACGAGAGCATATATACGATATATATATATTTGATTTAAAATGGAAGCTTTCGAGTGGAAATAGCTCTTGAACAGACTTATATCAAGAATCATCGACTATTTCAGAACTTCTTTTAGAGTTCCTCTTGATAGCTTGGATTTCGTATAAAAAGAGATATACAGGGTGATCCAAAAGTCCCGCACAACTTTAAAAATTAATAACTCCGCGAATATTTGCGCTAGAGCAATGCGGTAAACACCATTGTGTTCAGGATGCAATGGGATTTTTTATAGCAAATAATGAAAATTTCGAAATTGATTTTAGTTACAACTTTATTTGCTAGATGGCGCTCTACCAGAATCGGCTATTAAGCGGCCAAATTGTTTGATAAATTGAAAAATATAACTGAACGACACGTATTTTTCCTTTTTGAATACCAGGAAAGAACCCAAATAATATCAAATGATAAATTAATAAAACACCATTACGCCAAAATTTAGAAGGACTGGTTAACGATTTTTAAATACAATCTGAGATATGTAAAATAGGTATATGCAAATTAAAACATGTAGCAAAAAATATTTATATTTTAGATGGAGTTTTGTGAAATAGAATGAATGTTTGAAAATAACTACTGATATCAATACACGATTTTTGAAATGTTAATATAGTACCAAAAATTATGATGGCACTACTAATAGGATTTCGTGCTATAAGGAATGTATAGTTTCTTGACTAATTGACGACACTTGACTATTTAACTGGATATTTGTCATGATACAAAGATGAAATATAGAGGGGAGTGACAAAATATATTTGTCGTACTTTATTCCAAATAGCCTATGGGTTTGTCAAATGTTATCATTGTTTATTATACTGTACATAATTTTGAAAATGTATCCCCTAAAAAAAAAATCATTTTTAAATCGACCTTTTGCGTTGAAAAACGTGGTAGCAAAATAATTTTGTATTATTTTTTGCGCAAAATTTCTAAAGTTGGGGGGGATACAGAGAATATTCCTTATGCTATTTTTTCTAATGGGCGAAAAGCGATAAACTAAACATAAGGGTTAAAATTGTGTATACCAGTGTTATTCGAGAAGTTATAACACTTTGGCCAGCACGACATAATATAAGATGTGGGCAAATGATTAACCAAAAAATTACTGTTCAAAGAAAAAAAAAAA